AGATCACTACAGCTCCCGGGCGCGCGGGCGGCGCGGCCCCCCCCCCCCCCCCCCCCGGGGGGGGGGGGGGGGGCGGGCGGGGGGGGGGGGGGGGGGGGGGGGGGGGGGGGGGGGGGGGGGGGGGGGGGGGGGGGGGGGGGTTCGGATTTACGGGCTCAAAATTGGACTTGGGAACAGGTTTGTTTTCCTTTACTGGAGTACTACATCAGATGTACTCGGAATAAACCAAGTGTGAGATAAACGCGAAACACCGTTGGAACGAGTTTCTAATTATTGCATGTCTCAAGAACTTTCCAGGGTTACAAGTACGGGTAGCTACCATGGTCCAGGATGGGTCCTCCATTTAACTGACATTTTGTATTTTTGTATTTGGATTTGGGGGGATCATTTTCCCCCCTGGACCCCTGAGATCCTACACTGGGGGATCTGGTTATCACTGTGTCCAAATGTACCGAAGTATATGTCATATCGGAGGTCCCAATCGCAGCTTATTCTTGCCCAGGTGAACGATCCCGGCATTGTGGGATCTCGGCTGTCACGCCCTTTTAGTGTGTAATCAATACGAATCGGCCTTCCCGTTTGACCGTAACCCAAACAGTAGGGGTATCTTCTCGATTCTTTTTTCTGCCTTTTAATTATTATTTTTCAAAAGATAGCATTATTTGATTACGGTTGCTGTCTCTCAACTCTTCCGAGGATCTGCAGGAATGCACGTGTGGTATGTCTTTGAAGTTCAGTTGAAGGTTTGAGTCAGAGAGGTGCTTGGACCTATCCCCCAATAATATGTACTGCACAGTAGGACTCGTACAGAATGATCGTCGAATTGATCAAATGCAAAAAAACACGTTCTCACCGCATCAAGGAACCGTCCCTATGGAGCCACAGGTGGGCCCACGGGAGATTGCCCTTTACCAGTTGTCATCTCGCGTGGTTTCATGATGGACTATGCATATGGGCTGTGAAACCTGGAATATGGTATTGGTAGGACGGAGGATGTGAGGCCCGACTAAGTCATTCCTCTCCGTACTCCGGGCGTCGCACAGGAGACAGGTCATTTCGATTCCATCTCCACTCGTGGTTCACCAGAAACACAGTGGAGAGCTTCTAGAAAATAGCGGAATTTCCACTGGATTTCCCCTTTTGGCTAATGTACATCCAGAAAATCCCTAAATTCCCAAATCAATAAAACAAAATCAAATAAATCAATAATTTAATTCCTACGTCAGATCAGGTGGATCCTCAGCCTCCTGTTCATGGCAGGGATGTTCGATGGGGATTTTCCATTTCTTTTTGCATTTGTTTTTCTTATAAGAGTCCTGTCCGGCTCGCTTTTCCTTTCCCCAAACTTCACTTGCTCAACTTACTTGCTGATCTCTTCGATCTACTATACTCTACTATACCTCCAAACCACCGAGATTCTCTCTCCTTCACAACACACAATGCCTTCCATCGGCTCCTCTCAGTTCCCTCCATGCCCCGGTCCTCCTCCCAAGGGCCCTCTTCCTCCACTGCCGAAATAAACACTCTCCAGTCAACTCAACGAACCTGATGACCCTGGCGCATTCTCATGAATCGCTCACGACCTGGACCCTCGGCATGGATATCACGACCTCGACTTTGATCCGCGTTCGACTCTGCGATCCTTTGTTTTCGAGTCGAACCTGCACCTAATTTTCCCCTTGTCCGGCCCCCAAAACAAAACACCCTTTTTTGAAGCGACTACGAGACACCGGCGGGAAGACAAAGAGCACTAGCTCCACCGTCGACTTTGTCTCTTGGCGACTTCAATGCGCATCGCGAGGGGAAACTTGTTTTGTCTGGCCTCGGACTCTCTTTTTCGTACACTTCTTTCTGGGGTGCCGATTTCTCTTTGAAACGCCCCTTTTTTTATTTTCTTCTCTCGCGCCCTTCAGCAACTGCATTCAGGACTCTGCGCCGGCGCTATCCGTCCTTGCATCATTTTGTTTTCATTTCTCTACTTTTTCAATATCGACAGCGGGGTTGTTTCACTCGAAGTGACGCGCAGATGCGGAGAAACTTGCACAGCGATCTGCACATCAATTGGACAATGCACAATCGCCTGCACACCCCCCTGTCTTAGCGTCAAAGATCAGCTGGGGTTATCTTTGCGATGCTTCCGTCTTTGCGTCATTGACCTGGCATCTCTTTGACTTTGCCGCTTTGATTTCGTCTCAATTCCCTGTGTCGCTTTGACTCGTCATTTCGGCTGTTCGAATGTCTTTTTAATTCTGTCGCTTTTTGTTTCTTTTTTTTTACTTTTTGCATCTGGCCAATTCGACTCGGCATGTACCATAGATTTAGTATACCCAACAGAGCAATCCTTTTTATCGTGATCAACTTATGTCGTGCATATGAACCAAAAATTGGGGTACTGCGGGTGAAACATCTACCCGCTCGTTTCACCAATCAACCCTGGAACATGACTAGCAGCGAAGCTAACAGGGATTTCATTAGAGCGGATGTCGCGGTAGCCGGCTCGTTAAAGTGTGATGTACATACTGATGATGTTGCCAATTCAGTAGCCGCCTATCAAGGGAGCTCTGTGCTACAATCTGACACTTAGGCAGCCTCGTTCGATGGACCGAGGCAACTCTCATGTGCAATCCATGCAACTCTGCCATCATAAGATCTGGTGTGGCACCGATCTGACGCGATCCTTATCGAGCTTCCCGTTACGATTCCCAGCGCAGTAATGCGCTGCACTACACGGCGCAGAACGATTGGCCAACAATGCATGTTCCATAGTACTTGGGTACATTTGTACTTGAGCTAGCGCCAAACCATGTCGCGCACACCGTTCCATGTCACTAATCTAACGGCTAAACGCTTTGGGACGAGCAGAAAACGCGATACGAGTTTCCGTCCGAGCGCTCCGAAAGTCTACCGTGGGTACCTTTTCCGGGGGCCTTTGCGATCATGATATACACTATTTGCACCCGGGCAGGTTATCTGGGGCCTGGCACTTTTTTCCGGCCAATGAGAGACCGCCCTTTACCTTCTTTACTTCCCGGTTTTTTTGGTTTTTTCTCCTTTTGTTTAAGTGAAATCACCGTTCCTGTCGCCTAAGTTGCATGATCTTGGAAATACTCTCGTGCTGGGATGCGTGTTGGCCGTTGGTCCATCATGTCTCTTCCCCCGCTTTCTACCCCTCAGCCTTGGAACCTTGGAAGCTGATCAAGCTGACAGTGCGCTATATCCTGTACAATGTACTCCGTACTACATACGCTACAGATATCCAATGTAGTATTGTATCAAGTATAGCATGTTTCAGTACTAAGCCCATCTGGGGTGAGGTCAAGTGACAAAAGTAAGCTTTCGGCCGCAAGGTTCCTGGCAAATGCTCTCACAGTCTGTGCCCTGTAAGTCACTGTGCAACGGTGAATCTGCCAAGTATCTCGCGTGGCGTGGAGCCACGTGTGTCGATGAGGTCATATCCCCCCTCTTATCGCCGTCTCATCCATGGATGTCATATGAGACACCCATGGCTACCTGCCTGGGGTCCCTAGGTCGCCGTTGCGGCATTTATCTCTCAAAGCGGTGAATCGTGAGGCTCATAGGCTGCCCGGGTGCACTGCCCTTCGCCCGTACCTGTCCGGAGTCTCGGGCCAGGTATACTTTGGCTTGCATCAAAATGGAAGTTGCTAAGGAATTGGGATCCGATTCGACATTGTGGCTCGGTAGCTCCGTCCAGAACGAGGCTGAATTCTTGAACTAGTGGAAGCTAATTGGAAGGGAACGTCACGGCTTCAGGGTGGGCCTATCGTACACTGCAGGGCTAGGCTTCCGGCACTCACCTGGGCAACCTCTGAAAGCTCCGAGTGACTCATAGTCTCTGCAGGATCTCGCCTGGGCACTTTCCCTTTTGCATGAGACCCTGTAAACCATGCTTCGGTTTGAGGGGCTCACGGCGCGGCACTCCTTGGCAGAATGATGCCAATCTCACTTACTCGGCAGGTGTCTGATCGCAGATACTTAGTGTGATGGGGGCCAGGGTCTACTACGAAGTGCTACTTGGCTGCGGTCGGCATTTGAGATATTTATGAATTGAGCGATTCAACATTGCAGCCTTTTGTGCATTTTGGCATTCGGCATTTCTTCCTCGTTTGACTTCCTTGCTCGAGACCCTGGTGAATTTCCTCTTTCGGAATGGACCCGTATTCTAGAGTGCGCCTTCAGCCGTTCTCTGTTTTATATGGACCTGGAACTCATCTTTCAGGTAACTGACACGCAGTAAAAGGGCTGATAACCAGTATGCCTAGGTGCTAGGTATTGATTTAGCTAAAAGATGAGAACAAGATGTATAAACTAAATTCTGCGACGGTTCATCCACCTAAGCCCTAAATATTTCCGGAAACACCGATCTGCGGAGCCAAATTCAAAACCCTCTCCAAATATCAACCAACTCGTCATTTAATTACCATCAGCTCGTGGACATTGACTTGGAAGAGCTTGTCATCTTGCGCGGGATAAAGAAAATGTTCCTCATTCTCCAAGAAAATATCGGTGGTCTACTACTTGATTTGCTACCAAATTATACCCCAGGCCCCTACCTAGCCGGACTTGTCTGCTACATCTGTTCCGCTTTCAGGGTTATCTTTACCCAAGATGCGCAGGTATGAGTAAAGTTGTAGCTATGTCGCCTGTGGGCTCCAGGGCTGTTGTTCCGGGGTTACAAGGTCTCAGGAGCGCGGAGTTATCGACTATATCTTAGGATGATTTTCAGTTGTATTCTTTTGGTTCAATCAACCTGTGACCTCCTAAGTAGGTGTTCATCTTCATTCGACATAGACCCTCCAAGGTTCCAAGAGTTGATGGGTGCAGTGGGTTCCTCAGGTCCTGAGTCTACCTACCTAGGTATGAAGTCGCCAGTTGCCATCCATGGATAGCAAGCAAGAACAGCGATTTTTAATAGTCCGATATTTCCCAAGTGGTGGGGTGGCTCTTTCCAAGTTTAATAGGCTTCACCTACCTAGGTATCGACAAGAATGAAAGATGGTTTACATTTGAACCTTATCGTACTCCCGATATATAAAACCATACCCATGTACCTACGGCTTGCCAAGTCGGGGCAGCTCAGTATGTATTACATATTACCAGGGCACCCAGAGGCTGGGCACCAACTACAAAAAGCACACTGGTGCGAGAGAATGCCATGAATAAATTCGATCATGGATGAGGTTTCTCATTTTGGCGAGTGTAGCTTGGAATTGGTCTCTACCCGGTATACTTCAAGGTTTCAACAGTATCATGACCTACAGTATGCGCATGCCCCACATTTGTTTCGATACAGTAAGCTCTCGAGGCTTATCTTGATCTATTTGAGCTTTTGATTAATATAATCGCTACGTTACTGACCTAGTAGCGACGTTGAAAGCTTCTTGATAGGCTAGTGCATTGGGAGTGAAGGGTGGCGCCGAAGTCGAAGAGTTCCAAGGTTGTCGATAGTAAATTCCCCCATACAAGACAAAGGAAGCTTTCTTATAATATGGACTATCAACAAACCCTGAAACTATTGAAAATATGGCGAGTACTTCTGAGCATTTTTTGTATAGTTCGACCAAAATAGAAACACGTGATTTGCCCGTTCAAACCAGCCACGGCTGCCCTTCTTCCTCCAAACGCAAAGCCACCATGGTTCTACAACTGCACGTGTGGGGTCCAGCCTTCTCCCTGCCTTCAATTGACGCACAATGTCTTGCAATCATTGCATACTGCTCCGAGGTCCTTCCTAAGGGCTCTTGGGAGCTTGTCGCGACCAGCGATCCCTCCGTCTCTCCTACCGGTAAGTGACGTGACCGCGGGATCATCTGAATCCAATGTCTCATATTGAATGAATAGGTGAACTCCCTGCTCTCCAGAATGGAGAAGTGTGGGTGAGCCGGTTCCGCAATATCGTCGACTACCTCCGCCAATATTCCGAGGGAGCATGGTACTTGGATCAAAACTTGGATGAGGTCCAACAGGCCGACAGCGTGGCGTATGTAACTCCAACTCGCCACAATTTACGCGATCTGACAATTGCAGATTCTCCTCCTTCGTCGAATCCCGTGGCCAATGCCTCATCGACCTCTACCTTTACGTCACAAGCCAAAACTACTACGCAAACACATCTCCTGCCTACGGCGCTCTTCTCCAATGGCCAAACCAATGGATCCTCCCCCCAAAGCTTCACACCGCTGCGAAGTCGCGAACAGAGCACCTGGGACTCTCCTCTCTAGACCTTCAAGCAATGGAGGACCAGCGCCAGCGCGACCACTCTGCCGCCGTGGCCTCCGGCCAAATCCCCAAGAACCTTATCCAACAGCCCAAAGACACAGTCTCCAAAATGCTCGGCCGAACATCACAATCAAATCATTTCCGCCTTGAAGCTCTCACAGCCGACTTCTTCGACCCCCTCGAAGCAATGCTCTCCACCAAATCCTGTCTCCTCCCCGCAGACTCAAACAACTCCCTCTCCTCGCTCGACTGCGTCGCATCCGCATACCTATCTCTGGCCCTCATTCCAGACCTGGCTTTCCCGTGGCTGCGCGACGCAATGCGCTCAAAGGCCCCGCTCTTGACCGCGTACACGGAGCGCATGCGCTCTCGCGCTTTCGGTGCCGCAGATGTTAGTCATGCCTTTGTGCCGGTGACGGAGTCGCTGCCGTGGCGCGCGCCAGACCGTCTCTCGGTTGCGACGGTTGGAAGTACACTTCTCAATACGCTTGCGGATAACACGCCTATTCTGAAGGAGGTTAGAGCCAACAGGCGGTTGAAGCAGGCTATTCAGTCGGATGAGGATTTTAGCCCGGTTCAGAAGCAGGGGCTTTCGCTTTACGCCGATTCTAAGAGTAAGGATATGTTGGTCTCGATTGCTGCGGTTGTGGCGGGCAGTGCTGCTTTGGTTGGATACATGGTTCACGTCGGGTTGCTTTCTTTCTCTCGGGAAGCCGAGGAAGAAGAGGAGGAGGAGGAAGTATATGAGCCTGAGCAGGTTCTTCATATGCCTGCGTCTGAAATCTTAGGGTTGAACCTTGGCTAATCTCGATTTACGGTTCTGAGAGGTTGGTTTTGAAAACTTGACAATAGTCAAGATTGTACTATAGCATCTGTTTGTGCTCTCGTGGATGTTTCCACGGTTCCTCCGCATCGAAGTCTCCGATTTTTGGTCCAACTCTACCTGAAACGCATTGCAAGCTTTGTTCTGATTTCGCGTGGACTTGAAACGAACATGCAATCTTAACAATGGCTCTGAATCTACTGTATAATATCCCTTGGTTCAAGAACCATGTAGACTTCGTATTGAACCGTGTCCTAATCCTTGCATGTGCTGCATTCCTCCGAAGCCCTTACCAGGCATTCCAGTCGCAGAAGCTTCACGGAATGTTCGGCCAATATTCAAGGTTTCCCCACATTCCTGGACTGTAGAGTTCAACGGCTGTCGTTGATTGAAAGTTCGGAGTACTTCTCATTCAATCGGACGAATTGTAAATACCCGATCCTGCATCAATGACGTTTTGGTTATGCAGGGTAAACCGAGTCACCTGCATGACGGGTCGGTAATTAAGACCAAAGACCAAATTGAGGGTTCGTTTCAGTTTGAGTGAACAGGTGTTGGCAACTTAACGAGACGAACCGCTGGAGGATATATGCCGAGAAAGGGAGTCTCCACAATCAAAACAACAAGGTTGGCAAAGAGATAGTAATTACATAGCATAGTCGGTTAAGGATGTAGGGGAAAAAAAGAAATGATATCAACTCTCAAATCAGGTGGTATATGTACAAAGAAGACAAAAATGACGCAGATCATGACCTCAAAAGATATGTATGCACCTCTGCACGGAAAAGAGGCATCCGTGAGAAGCTGCCGTGGATGGAATGATGTGTGGCCAGGATTGTTGCTGGAGCCAGCGACCTGCGCACGCACACATCGAATACAAAAGCCATCTTGAGCGTTGAACCATTTGCGCAAGAAACAAAAACCCTAAGGGGAGGTGGATGACAGGGAGAATATCAACAAATGGCCATCTAAGAGGACCAGCCGAGGTTGACGACGAGACGGACGGGACCGGCGGACTGGGCGACAGCCTTGTCGGGCTTGCCCTGGTCGGCGGAGGTGTAGGCGTTGACAACGGAGCCGGCGCCGGAGGTGATGGAGGAGCACTTCTCACCCTCGTGGTTGCAAATCTGCATACCGGCGATGTCCATGTTGGCGAGCTCGGCGATAATGCAGGAGACGTCCCAGCCGGAGAAGTTGTCGTTCTGGGCGTTGGACATGTCGAACTCACCCCAGGTGGAAGCATACTCGCCGACGTAGTTGGTAGGGAGGTCCTCGCCTTCGGCGGCACCCCATCCACCCTGAGAGTTGTCGTCGATGGCGACGAAGGTGCTCTCACCGGGCTCGACGGTGAAGTGGAGGGCCTTGTTGGGGCTCCAGAATCCGTTCAGGCCACCGCTGGGACCGTAGGAGTTCCACATGATAACGCTCCAGGCCTTCTGGTTGTCGTTCTCGAAGCGGATGACGTGCTTGTAGCCGCTGGCGCTGCTCTCTTCGACCTTGATCATGTTGCTACCCCAGGGGCTACCGACGTTGCCGATGTAGTCCCAGTCGAGGGAGCCAACGCGCTTGCTGGCAGTGGAAGCACCGAAACCGGTGGTGGTGTACTTGCCGTCGGAGGGGTAGTCGGCCCAGTTGCTGGAGCTGGAGCTGGAGCTGGAGGATGAAGAGCTGGAGGCAACGGGGGTGGCGCTGACACTGGAGACAACTTCCTCGCTGGAGGAGGCAGCGGCGGTGGTGGGAGCGGCAGTCGAGGTGGGCGTAGCGGAGGCCTCGGAGTCGGCAGCCTCAGAGGAAGACTCAGAGGACTGCTGGCCAGACCACTCGTTGATCCAGGAGACGAGCTGGCCATCAATGGTAGCGACGACCTCAGCGCCGATACCACGCTCGGCAACCTCAGGGGCGGGAGTGGTGGCAGGCTGCTCGACCTTGATATCGACATCGACAATGTCCCGGGGGTGAGCGTGACGGCGGTCGTGGCCGTGAAGACGAGCGACGGCCGACCCAGCGGTCAGCGCCGTCATCAACAGCATAGAGTTGGAAAGATGCATTTTATTTTCCGGATTGAATAACTGAAAATGAGTGACTTGAGCGAATGCTCTGAAGGAAATTCAATCCAAATGAGTGTGTGAATGAGAGAGTGAGGGAGAAAGCGAGTGGACTAGGGGGGGCAGAGGATTATTAGTACGTACAGATACAGGTAACACACAAACGGGTCAGATGGGTCCTGAACCAGAATTTCTCCCAAATCAGGGGCTCCCGACTTTTGATTGGTTCGTTCCTGGCGGTTCCTGACTGCGCCGTGCGCCCTGGTCTCGCTTGATTGGTGGACCCGTCGAGACGCCCGAGGTCTGGACTCATTGTCTGTGGTACTGTGTACTTGGCTCTACTATGCCCTGCATCGCGGCTGTGCGAGTACTCGTGACTTCCATATAGGGGTGTCTATTGTTGACCTATTTTCTCCTATATTGCATATCGCTATTATTACTCCGTACACCCCAGGGCTATTGCATCCTTTCCCATTGATCCTATTGATGTTCTCGACGGTACTCAGGTATGTACTCAGGTACGGAGTATTGATATCTGCCTAATGTCAACCACGTGTACAATCGGAATGCTGGATACCTGGAGATTGCATGTCCACGACAACACTCCATCAAAACCCAATATTGATCAGAGACTTAGTACCAATGCAGCCAAGTCTTGGTTATATTCGTAGCTAGTACTTTCAAACTTTCACCGATGTGGTTTAAGACAGTCCATCTCCCCGTCACCCGGTCTTCCCCACATAAGCCAATCGGTGCAGTGCGCAGCAAGGATCAAATTCGTCTTACGAATCCTCTCATGGGCAATCTTAAAATCTACGGAAACAGTTCATCCCCAAAGAAAGAACCTTGGAAGCCAAGTGATCCAGCATGATGGGTGAGGGAAAATCCTCACTCTGAGTCATTTCGTTACCATTACTGTTATAAAATGGTATTACTTGTCTTATTTCACCCTGCCCATCGTATCCACGGATATGCGCATAACAAGGTCTGGCCGCAGATCAACGGCAGAGATTCGCCCCTACGCGGCAGATGGGTCTTTGCCCTCGATTCTCTGTAAGGCACAACCACTTTTTGAAGCTTTATTTACTGGTAGCGTCAAAGCCAGTCCCCACCGATATGACGAGTCTTTCTCCGGTAGGGCCTTGCCGGAGTGGTAGCCCCATAATCGCATGCCAGAGTGGCCCCCTCATCGTGAGTCCAGGCCTGACCGTTTCGCCAGACTGAATTTGATCGTATTTGCCCTGCCCCCGTGGTGGGCGATTTCAGGTGCCCAGCCTTGCTTGGAACTTTGATTGTGCTTGGCCTGTAGTATAGATGTGGAAGGCTCTAGCATAACCCTCGGTACGGAGGATAAGGGGGTTTTTACCCCCCAAAAAATACAAAGGGCCAAGCAAAATGAAAATAATTTTAAAAAAGTGAGTTGGCGGTTCTCGAAACGTTAGGATTGCAGGTACCCGCCGTGTTCCTTACATTGAATTCTGCAGGAACACCTGGGCACGATCCCTGGGTTGCAAATCGACTAGAATCAACTAAAAGGACTCTAAACACTTCTACCACAGTTGCCGCGCTTTTCTTTCATAATAAATAAACAGAACCAAGGTTGGGCTCTCGGGAGCCCAGTGACGACCCTCGGTTGCGTTCACGATCCACGATCTCATTGGCTGCTGGGAGATTAATCCTGCATCTAATCTCATTGAATTTTCTGGTTCCCCAATACACTTCATTGTCGAATAGACTGTAGAAGGCCAAATAGCACAAAGCAACCCGTACTTTCCAACTGTACTATATTGACAACGGCCGAATAGCGTCGTGGCTAATGGGCGCAAAATAGAATGCAGTGGAGACGTTGCTATTTACAGATTGATCTTCCATTTCATCTACTGTATTCAAAGGGGGACAAGCCACCTGCGTCCCTGCCCAGGGCCAAGTCGCCCACCCATGGAATACGGGTGCCAGCAGACCCTTCATTTCTCGCCCAGATCCACGCCACCCTCAAAGGCGACGCCACCGGCAGCTGCATCGAGTTTCAGGCTCTCGTCCAGCCCGCAGACCCTAAACAGCATTTGTGGCGTCAACTCCTTATTCAGCCCAGGCAATCCATCCCGCTTCAATTTCTCCAAACCTTCCCGCATGGCAGTGAGAGCAGGGCCCAATGTCGCAAAGGGGAAAATGATGATTCGGAACCCGAGCTCTTGAGCCTCCTGAGACGAAATCGATGGCGTGGACCCATGCTCAACCATATTCAGAAGCAAAGGCCATCCAGCGAAATCATTAATTACTTTCTTGGCCATCTCGCGCGATGAGATTCCCTCCAAGAATCCAACATCTGCGCCTGCTTCCCGGGCCGCCCGCAGTCGCGCAACACTCTCCTCATACCCCAAAGACTGTAGCGCATCCGTCCGCGCAATGATCACAATGTCACTTCCGATGCGCTGTCGCGCTTGCACAGCCGCCCGGATCCGGCTGGTGTACGTCGCTGTGTCGACGAGCTGTTTCCCAGAAAGATGCCCACACCGTTTCGTCTGTACTTGGTCCTCGATGTGGAAGGCTGCTACGCCGGACCGTGCGTATTGCTCCGTCGTGCGGGCCACCATGATCGGCCCGCCGTAGCCGGTGTCGGCATCCGCGATGAGCGGTATGCGTGGTGACAGGTTGGCTAGCATTTCGGCATTCGCTCGCATGTCGTTCAGCGTGCAGATGGCCAGGTCGGCTTGGCCATGCACGGAGGCCGCGGTTCCTGCGCCGGTCTGCTTGGTCAGTTGGGACTCGGGCTGGGACCGCATCGTGCTTTTCCTACCATGTACAGAGCTTCGAATCCTGCGGCTAGTGCCAATCGTGCGGACATGCCATCATAGACTCCTGGGGCTGTGATGAAAGCCTTGGGGTCCTGCAGAGACTGTCGCAGGGTGGTTGCTGCTGATGGGAGAGCCATTGTGAATGTTGACGTCAACGAACTGGATGCCAAAGGGGGATGTTTGTGATTTTCCTCGTATATATTTGAGCCCGAGAGTGAGTTGTCAGATTCAGGTTTTCCCCCGAAGGTAAGCTGGGTTTCAAGACGATCTCCACGGGTGAGAAAAGGCATTCGCTCATTGATTCCCCACCCCGTCTGGCACCGTGGACTTCTGCTTCAATGACGAGCCGATACCGGTATGCTTTGTCATCGCAAATGAGGGCATGCAAATGGCCTCTATTTGGTCCAAGCTGAAGCCGTTTCAAACGGAGTACAATGCACTTCACGAATGCCGGGGGTTCCGGGACATTCGCGCACACTTCATGCGAATACTCGGTTGGTGGAGCACATGTTCTATGATGGCAAATCTAGACTTCCAAGGTTGTTCCGACCTTGAGATACTAACATTGTCCGAGGCAATTGTTTGCAAATTCAGCACCGATAAATGCCTGGTATGTAAAGCGTCATAGATCGGGGGCGTACTACCTAGGTAGGTAGTAGACATCCCACTTGAACAAAACGTGTACAAAATGCTCCACGAATGGACAGACGTAATCTCTATACCTTTACCGAATGCCACACAGGTTCTATATCCACGTTATGATTTACTGCTTGACTTCCATACATGAAGAACGATGTTAGCTCTAAGAAACATACCCTTAAGCCTCTAGCGTGTGCCGGGTGCATGGGGTCAACTGGCCCCAGGTGCCCGGGGCCCGCCAATCTTAGTCATCACTCCATCTCAACCCTCAGTCGGCTGCACCTTGGATCTTGACCCTCCATTCCTCTATGATGAGACACACCTGTACCCTCTAATTTCCCCGTTCATCAATCCCCGCGATGGCGCGCCCCTCCGTGGTTCAAGAATACGATCCCGCGCCAACCATCAGCGTCGACCACAAGTCCGCGGCCGAGCTCCAGAAGTACCGAGTAGCTCGCCCGCCAGGCTATCGCGTATCATGGCACGCCAACCCAGCCGTTGAAGCACACCACTTTGGCCAGTCACACCCAATGAAGCCATGGCGTCTCACCCTCACCAAACAACTCGTCATGGCGTACGGCATGCACCACGCCATGGACCTCTACCTCGCGCGCGCAGCGACCTATGAAGAGATGGCCGACTTCCACGAAACAGACTACCTCGACTTCCTGCGCCAGGTCATGCCAGGCGACATGGATCGTCCCGAACAAGGCGACAACGTCATCCGCTTCAATTTCGGAGACGACTGCCCCATCTTCGACGGGTTGTACAACTACTGTTCCCTCTACGCCGGCGGCACTGTCGACGCAGCCCGCAAGCTTTGCAACAACCAGTCCGAAATCGCAATCAATTGGTCTGGCGGTCTCCACCATGCCAAAAAGGCAGAGGCCTCAGGCTTCTGCTACGTGAACGATATCGTCCTGGGCATCCTCCAGCTCCTCCGCCACCACCCCCGCGTCATGTACATCGACATCGACGTGCACCACGGCGATGGTGTCGAACAAGCCTTCTGGTCAACAGACCGCGTTCTCACCGTCTCCTTCCACAAATACGACAAAGACAACTTCTTCCCCGGAACAGGCGCCCTCGACGACACAGGCCCATCCCACCCCCTCAACCCAGGCGCTCACCACTCAATCAACGTGCCTCTACACGACGGCATCGACGACCACTCCTACATCGGTCTCTATGAAGAAGTAATCGGCGCCTGTGTCGAGACCTACCGCCCCGGCGCAATCGTTCTCCAATGCGGAGCCGACAGTCTAGGCTGTGACCGGCTAGGATGCTTCAATCTGAACGTTCGCGCCCACGGCGCCTGCGTCGCATACACCAAGACATTCAACTTGCCACTGCTTGTCGTCGGGGGCGGAGGCTACACGCCTCGCAATGTATCGCGAGCCTGGGCGCACGAAACATCCATTCTGCTCGATGCGGATAAAAATCTCGATTCCACGATCCCGGACTCCGTCGCATTCCGTAATCACTTCGGTCCAGACTTCTCACTCTTCCCTCCTCTGTCGGAGATGCGGAAGTTGGAAAATAAGAATACGAAGAGCTATATCGCAGATCTGGTGGAGGCTGTCCATGAACAGCTGAGGTATATCCAGGGTGCGCCCAGTGTGCAGATGAGTTTCATTCCGCCTGATATCTTGGGGTTGAGGGAAGAGACTGAGAAGGAGATTGAGGAGCAGACTTTGATGGCGGAGGAGGAGAGGGAGGAGATGGATGGGGGTGGCTCGGTGGCGGCTGCTGCGTCGGCGGCGGCGTCGTCTGGTCTGGGTTATACTGGTTCTGCGGCTGCGATCCCTCGATCTACTCGGAGGAATCAGGAGCATGGCGCCGGGTATAAGGGGGAGTTGTATTCATAGGTTTGGGCCGGGGTCTGGGTTGCAATTGGTGTTTGGCGTCGTTTCCTACATATTTGTATCGTTGTGATATCCCTCTTGTCGGAGCTTGTACAGTATCAAGGGCATGGCATAAAATAATTGATTTGGTCTATGTATCACTTTCATTCTTCCAATGGCACTGGTAGAGAGAATATAGTACTCCGTATATCACCCAAGATCCTATGAATCACAGATATCGAATAGCCAAAACTCGAAACCACGGCCAGGTGGTTTCTAGATGTTAGCTCACCGCAGAGCCCCGGACTTGCTTGGCTGCCTTGACCGTTACATGACTTCCAAGGTTCACCCTCGCAGTAACGATTGTTCATTTTGAGGATTTTAAATTAGACCAAATCGGGTATTCAGCGACGGGGGCGGTGCTGTGTTGAAGCAAGGTTTATCAGGGTTGCGCCGCCCCAGGGTCTGCACAGGTTGACTACATGGCAGAGATGTCAGGGCTCAGAGGATGACCGCATGGGTGATGGAGGTTGTCCGGGCAGTTGATCGAACACGGGGCGAGACTATGAGGTTTCCTGTGCATCTACAAACTTGTCCACCTCTGAGGTCTGGGTATCTGTTCGCTCCACGGTGTTTCGGGTGGCGTCACTTTTCTCGACTACATCGTACGGCGGTATTAGCGGGCTGTGGGATCCTGGGGGCCATGGTGCGGCGGAATTTGAAACTGGGGTGACTCCTTCTGACCTTGGAGGATGGGCGCGATCGCTAGGATTTGTTTGGTGGCGAGTTGGGGATCGTGCATGTCACTGAAGGGGTTAGCTTTATCCACACACGTCTTTGGGGCCGAGAGAATCTCGCACATTTGAGCGTTGAGGATCCAATCGAGGTCTTCGTCGCCCTCGTCGGGTCCTCCGGGGCCGCCTTGAACGGGACGGAAAAGCTTGGGATGCCAGTCAATACCCTCGTCGGCGCGCTTGGCGGCTTCATCTCGTTGACGATCTTCGATCTTGGTCTTTTCGTCGGTTGCGGCCTCGTGGTTCTGGGTCAGGATCGCTTGGACAGTGTCCTTCCATAGACGCTGGGACTCCCGCTCTCCCTGTTCCTCGATCGGGCGTGCTATCGGCGCAGTGTGCTTTGCGTGTGTCGCATTGAACAGGATGTCTTTTTTGTGGGTCTGTGACGATTGTCAGCGGCCTACACCTTACAGCGAAGTAGTGGGCGTACATGAACATCCTTGATATCCATCTCTCCATTCCACAGTCCCGAGAGCTCATAGAGTACCTCTCCGGTCTGCTCGTTTTTGATGGTGCCGCCGATAGCGTTGTACGTGCCGGAGAAGTAGCCCTTGGTCTTGAACTCGATATCAGCCACCAGGTGGTTCTCTGGACAGCGCACGTAACTGTGGTCGCCAAGCTCATATTTCATTTTTCCAAAAAGGATGCCGCGCGCATACATATTGGGTTGGGTGAGAATGCTGGTCTGGTCAGTAATCGTACGAGTGAGCTGCGGGAGCAACGTACTATCTCTCGCCCTTCTCTTTATTCTGGCCGCGGTTCATCAGTCGCAAAGTGGCGATTCCTTCCATCATACTTGCGGCGGAGTTACCCAAAAATTTACTGCGGGGTTTGAGGGTGCCATCGATCCGAATGTTATGCTCCGGCGCAGCGAAGAAGTAGCTCGACTTTGGCGGGTGGTGGGAGGTCTGTTCGGAAATGTAGTAGCCCCGGGTTCCATCGGAGTAGTCCCAGTGGCAGGTGAAGGTCTCTCCGAGGATGGGGTTGAGCGGCTTTTTCACTCCACTGTATAGTGATCAACATTTGTTCTCGTCGGATAGCGCGCGCGCAACATACGGAGGTTTGATGTGCCATCCACTTAGGTAGAACTTGACCACGGAGACGAAGCGTTCGACCGGATCATCAATCGTTGACATCGGGAGCAGGGTTTCCGGATGGGCCATGAAGCTGTATGACGTGCACGTTAGCCGAGCTGCCGCTTCGGACCAGCAGGGAAAGGGTACGCACTTAGTGATGCGCTCCAGCATTGATCGAGGCTCGAGGATAAAGGTCGGCAGAACGACTCGACTCAAGTCGGCGCCAGGTCGCAGTTGGGAGATGATGTGCGAGAGGACTGTCGAACGGTCAATATGGTCTCTGCCTACTTCGTGGACTTCAACTCGCACCATTTCCCTGATCGGGCTCGACGACCTCGTCCTCCCCGCTAGGGGGGGAATCCTCCATTGAGGATCTGCCTGGATCTGCGTTAGATGACATGTTGGGTGTTGTCGAGAGGGAAGTTCTCACTGGCCAAAGAAGCGCGGCGGAGATGCGGGACCGGCATATCTGCGTTCGGAAAGTATATGGAAATATGGACTTATTGATTTTAGGACCCTCTACACGGCCAGCATTTGAATCTAAGAGAATTAGTCGAGGAAGTAGTTTTTTTTTCAAAAAAAAAAAAAGAAAAAAAGTAGCCTAGCGAGAGAGCCGGTTTTGCGGGAGAAAAAACAAGAATACGAAAAGGAGTCCGAGGCAAGAAAATGAACTTACGAGCAGAGCAGAGAAGAGAGGAATACAGAGAATAGGAGAATAGGAGAACAGGAGAATACGAAGCTGGAAAAAAAAAAGGAAAAGGAAAGAAAAAAAAAAAGTCATGCAAATTGAATGCTTAGCTTCAGGGAGGGGCCCGGAGTGACGTCGGGTATTGTTTTCCTTTCTTTTCTCACTCCGTACTTCACTCTGGATTTTCCCCCAGAGCTCTCTCTACCGGGTTCGCAGTGCGCAGTACAGCACACTCGTTATTACCCTCTTCTCTACTTACTCACGCTCGATGACAGTATTCACCTCGATGAGGGGCATCTCTTGGCATCCCGTTCATGCAGCCCCCCTAACGGACCAAATGGATCACACCCGCTCGATCAGCGGCATATCTCCACGGGTGATCTCCCTCACAAACCCCATATCCGGTCGATGGAGCATGACATGAAAATGCTCAACCGCATGAACGGACTTGAGCGACTTCCAATTCCTAAACCAGATCACCTGAACACGTCAGTTCGTATTCGTATTAACGCGGAGACAGCTCACCTGTTCGGTCGACACTCGCCAGAACGTGCGCCGTACATAGCCTTCTATGGCTGCCCGTGAGTCCGCCGTTAGGTCGTCCGTGGCGGGGTCATCTTCTAGTGGGAATTTCGTCCAGACGACTAGGTGGATGATGTCGCGATCCACGCCATACGGCCAGTCATTGTATAAGATTCGGATGTCCTCTGAGAGCCGTTAGTGCGGATTCTTCTTTCGAGTTCGAATCTCCCCATCCCATACCGTCGAATTCGAAGGGTTTGCCGCGAGGCTGCAGGTCGGAGAGTTTGCCGTCCCCCCACTGTAATCGTTCCTTGATCACGAAGCGCATCACCGATGAATACTCCGCTTTGATTTGCGCCATGTACTCCAGGTACTTGCGCAGCTCGCTAGGAACTCTTTGGAACAGATCGATGCGGTTGGTCTCTATACAGCCTGAGTTAGCAATTATGATCGCGTCGGGAATCTGGCCGGGCTGACCGATGATCGCTTTCACTTGCGCCCAGTCCTGCCGGGTATAGTGGTCATCGGGAGTGGAAAGACATTGAATATTCTTTGGAGGCTGGCCGTGTAGAAAGCCGGGGCATTCGGCAGTCCATTGCGACCGGGGTATATTGACTAGCCAGAACGGGAGGGTTTCCGCGGCGAGGTTGTGGTCGTGTAAGAACTGTGCCAGGGCTGTGGCGTTGGCATCAGTCAGTTTCTCGTCGAGTATCGTGATGGTAGATGCAGATATAGAAGGTCCCCTCACGCGGGCCATGGTGAAATAACCGTTGCGACTGTGTGTTGAAAGGTGAAGTAGAAACCCCTTGTATCGACGTCACCGTGCAGTGCCGAGGGATAAAACGTCCTGAGGCGTTTTCGGGTGTCGATCATCGATCCACCTGGTGGCAATTATTTGTTATTGAACTCGATCTCAACCTTTTATGTGGGAGATGTCCCAGTCTTTCCTTCCAATGCGACCCTGCACACCTGCCCAGGTGGGCAGCTATATCTCTGGACAAGTCATATCTATAGTCGCAATGGGCAAAGGCCCGACATACACCGCTACTTCTACCGGTGTTTTGGGCGGCTCCATCGCTCATATAATTACGTGGCCCAGGGTTACATATTTCAATGTGCCCTTCTCGTGGACGAAGTACGGAGTACATTCTGTGAAATTCGGGTTGGGAGGGTCGAATGCATGAACACCTCATGGCCGATCCAGCTGCATCAGCTGCATCAATCGATCAGCTCAGTTTCAAGTACTCCATAAATCACTACCTAGGTAAAGTCACACCGAGAGAGCAGGCAGATGTTATTATTCTTCGAGGGAGACCCCCAATGCCCAGTCCCGACTTCCTTCTATGTCTTGTTCACAGCCGTGGAAGGGATTTGGCCTTCAAATCCCTGACAGTGGAGTGTCACATTTCTCGGTCTTCTGAATAATTTTCCTGTATGTACATTGTTCATGTTACTCATAAATGATAAAATAATTAGGACAGAACTCCCTCATCCTTCAGGCGGGCAATGTCAGCCTCGCTATACTCCAAGATACTACCCAAAATCTCATCTGTGTGTTGGCCTAGTGTGGGAGGAGGTGATCGCACTCCCGGTTTCGCTTCCGAGTACTTGATGGGGGTGTTGACTAGCTTGATGGGCCCACAAGCAGGGTGTTCGACTTCAGTCACCATATCTCGTGCCAGAACTGTTCGAGTCAGTACTTGCTTTCCGTGCAGCGTTTGAACACAGCTTGAAGCTTACCATGCTTATGATTGAGTGTTCCTTGGATATCGTTGACTGCCGCGTAGGGCATACCGCTACCTTCGAAGATATCTAACCATTCCTGGGTTGTCTTCTGGACAGTGGTGTTTTCGATCATGCTATCGATTTCCGCGCGGTGCTGCACTCTGTCGCTGTTCGTGACGAAGCGAGCATCCGTTTTCCACTCAGAGAAACCTAATCGATCACACAGCACGCCGAAAAGCTTGTCATTACCACCACCGAAGAGAATGTCTCCATCCTGGGTTTTGTAGCTTCGGTAAGGCACAATGGATGCTAGGAAATGTTAGCTTTGTCTGTGATTCAACAAAATGCAACATCCTGCTTACGGTGTGCAGTCCCCCATCGGCCAGAGTCCTTCTGCCCACTGATGAGCGCCGAGCTAGCCAAGTTGGATAAAGTCGCAACCTGACAATCACTGAGACAAGCATCGATATGCTGACCCTTGCCGGTTCGACCACGAGCGATCAAAGCCGCCATGATCGCATTTGATGTGTACAACCCAGTGGTCAAATCAGTGACGGCCACACCGACTTTTACCGGCGCACCATCACGAGCGCCGGTGATATGCATCAGCCCCATCTCGGCTTCAACCATGACGTCGTAGCCGGCTCGGTTGCTGTATGGACCTGTCTGGCCATACCCGGTGATGCTGGCGTAGATCAACTTGGGGTTGATCTTTTGGAGGGTTTCATAGTCCATGCCGTACTTTTTGAGTCCTCCCGGGAGATAGTTCTCGACCAAGACATCGCATTCTTTAGCGAGTTTGTGGAGGATCTCAACGCCTGATTTGTGCTGGAAAGATAGACCAAGCGATTTCTTGTTCCGGTTGACCTTGACAGATGGTGAGTATGGTTTTTGTTCCAATTTCGTACCGAGCGAGAGTCACTGACTGCTAGATAATAGGCACTTTCACCAGGGCCTGTTTTGGTTGCGTCTTCATACTTTGCATATGGAGGGCCCCAGGCTCTGGTATCATCGCCGCGCACAGGGTGCTCAACCTTGATGACGTCCGCTCTAGATTCAGTGTGTCAATGCCAGACACTCCCTTGAAACAATATGTTCACAGTGTGGAACTCGACATACCCTAGATCGCCCAATATTTGAGTACAGTATGGCTAGAGTCAGTCAGCTTGCTGCGAATTATTCCTCCATATGCAGTTAGGAGATAACCACTTACACCAGCCAGAACACGCGTCATATCGAGCACTCTGATCCCCGCTAAAGGCAGAGTCCCATCAACCGAAGCTGAGCTGGAGTAGCTTCGAAGGGGCGTGCGTTGCAAGGCATTGCGACTGTAGGAAGTGGCTGATCGACGAGCAATCGCTTGGAATCTATGCAAGAGAGCCATAGTTGTATGTACAAAGCCGGAAAGAAATGAAGCCAAGCACAGCTTAAGTATGAAGCACATCGAAATCCGGGGGAATGCGAATCTCCGCCAAAACGCCGACACCGACACCGCTCGGGGCTGGCCATGCCGAGGTTTGTCATGCGGCAATTTCTCCGCACATCAACAACCACAATCATGTTCACAGGTCTTGTTGAAACGATCGGGAGTGAGATCTGGTGTTTCTTATTCTCACTGCATCAAAGACTAATGCCTTTTCAGCCGTCACGGCCCTAGAGCCCCTCGACACCTCCTCAAGCGGGGGCGGGGGAACTTCACTGACGATCTCCGACTGTGAGGAGATTCTCACAGACGCCCACTTGGGTGACAGCATCGCCGTGAATGGTATCTCAATCCCTTGAATGTTACTTTCACCGAGTGGAATTGATTCTGAGTCTCCAAAAAAGGAACCTGCCTCACGGTCACCGCGTTCGACAAGACATGGTTCAAGGTCGGCTGTGCGCCGGAGACACTGCGACGCACGAATCTCGGCTCCCTGACAAAGGGCTCATACGTGAACCTCGAACGCGCCGTCTCCGCCGATACCCGGATGGGAGGTCACTTCGTGCAGGGCCATGTGGATACCGTTGCAGAGATCTTGTCCGTCACGCCTGATGGGAACTCATTAGTGTTCCGGCTGCAGCCGCGGGATCGGAGCATCCTGCGCTATGTTGTTGAGAAGGGATACGTGACTCTGGATGGTGCCAGCTTGACTGTCACTAATGTTGTTGACGGGGAGGATGGGTATTGGGAAGTGATGCTCATCGCCTACACGCAAGAGAAGGTTGTCACGGCATCCAAGAAGCCTGGCGATCTTGTCAACGTCGAGATTGACATCGTGGGCAAGTATGTGGAGAAGAGTGTGCAGGGTTACTTTGCTGGTGCTGGCGGAGGTGATTTCGCTATCCTGGAAAAGATGGTGCACCGCATTGTCGACGAAAAGCTTAAGAAATAGATCAAGGTCATGATGAAATTAAATTTTTCTCTGGAACCGACTTGCCTTAGGGCTTAGAGCTTGCACGCAGCTCAATTGATGAAGATCAACTTTTCTTGACAGTATTTTCAAAAGGAACTAGTCTCATGTCTTCGATATAGTCTGGTTATTCCAATTCTACTCCGTGAGAGTAAGAGGATGAAACTAGTATGTCCAAAACGGGTTAGATGCCCAGGGCAGAGACTAGCATACAAAAGCCTAAGCACATCCTGCCCATTAAAACAACATTCCCATTCTAACCCAGAATCAGACAGACTGTACACTTCGTACACAAGTGACTCGTTCCAAGGTTGATGCGGAAGTGTCACATGATGACGCGCAAAGGTCGCGTCCCTCCCTAGCCGCATTGGTCTCAATGTTAGCCACTTGTCATGGATCCAATCTTGGATGGATTGAATCATGCGCAGCGTGAGGCTGTCACCTCATCGGGCTCAGTTCTCCAAGTGCTCGCGCCACCAGGTTCCGGCAAAACAAAGACATTGACGGCGCGCGTCGCGTACCTTCTATCACACCACGGCTACCAGCCTCAAGATGTGATATGCTGCACCTTCACGATCAAGGCCAGTCGTGAAATGCGCGAGCGTCTTGCCAAACTTATTGGTGAAAAACTCGAATCGCGCTTGATTCTCGGCACTTTCCACTCGATCTGTCGACGCTACTTGGTCAAGTACGGGTACCTGATTGGCCTGCGGAAGGGATTCGGGATTGCAGATTCGGACGACACCCGCGCAATCATCAAAGTACGCCTTCCATTTCTTGGCTGGGATCAATCACAGTTGCTAATTGAGGATTTAGAGAACCATTAAGCGGTTGAACTCTAGCATTGAAGTCAAGGCAGCCCAGGGCCGTATCTCTCGGCACAAGGCGCATGGCTTGAGCCCAGATGCATTGGCTGAACGGGCCAAGGCTGAAGAGCTGGAGCTCGTCGATATCTACCGGGATTATCAATCGGCATTGGCTGCTTCTAACCTGCTAGACTATGACGACCTTCTTTTGCGTTGCAGTGATCTCCTGCGGGATCATCCACAGTGTGTGTCCAACGTACAGGCCGTACTAGTGGACGAGTTCCAGGACACCAATATCATTCAGTATGAACTGATGAACCTCTTTGCCTCCAAAAGTCGGCGAATCACGATCGTCGGAGACCCTGATCAGAGTATCTACGGCTTCCGTTCTGCTGAGATCAAAAATCTCAAGCGTATGCAAGGCCGTTACTCAAACACAACGGTCGTTCTCTTAGAGGACAATTACCGCTCTGCGGGTTCCATTCTCAGTGCTGCCCAGGATGTCATTGAGCAGGACGAGGCTCGGCCCGCTAAGGCTCTCCAGGCCACCCACACATTTGGGACCCTGCCTGTGTTAAGAAAACTTCCAACCCCCAATGCAGAGGCACAGTGGATGGTTCTTGAGATCAAAAGAGCCGCAGCTATGACTGGAGGTCTCTTACGCATGTCCGACTTTGCGATCCTACTCAGATCGGCTTCGCTGTCAACGCAGATAGAGACAGCGTTCGGGAGAGCAGGCATTCCGTACAAGATGGTTGGAGGCCGAAAGTTCTTCGACCGAACCGAGGTGAAGATTCTGCTTAATTACATGCGAGTTGCTAGTCATACGGGGCATTCCGATGCGCTATTGAACATTGTCAATGTTCCGCCGCGGAGAATTGGCGATGAGACAATCAGGCAATTGACAAGCGGTGCGGAGCAGGCCAAGCTTCCGTTATGGGACTTCATCAAGGATGTCATTCAAGGGCGCCGCTCGACTGAAAAGAAACTGCAAAAAGCCGCAGAACAGGGGCTTTGTAACCTGGTGAAGCTGATTGAGGCCTCTCGGCAAAAGCTGCAGGAGTGTGAAGATGCCTCGGCTCCCCGTGTGCTCATCGAGTTTATTGCGGAGCGGCTTTCATTCCAGGAATATCTCATAAGAACATATCCACTGGACGAGGACACCCGCTGGGCAAATGTCAAGGAATTGATGCACCAAGCCACGGAAGTCGCAGCTTTTGAAGAGGAAGAGGTCGACAAGGAGATGGACCTTCCCGAGATCCAGGGCTTGGAACAACAGCAGGCACATGCTGGTGAAGAAGCTCTGACTCGTTTCCTTGCAAACGTCGCATTAGCGACAGAGATCACCACGGAAGAGGACAACAAAGAGGAGACTCCCAAAGAGAAGGTCACTATTTCAACCATTCACGCCGCCAAGGGGTTGGAGTGGCCTGTGGTCTTCGTACCTGCGGTGTACAATGGGAGTATTCCACATTCGCGCGCTGAGGTGATAGAAGAAGAGAGAAGATTACTATATGTCGCAATGACAAGAGCACAAGCTCTCCTATATTTGAGCTTGCCTATTCGACAACCACGACTAGGGGAAGGAGAAGACGGCGCAACAACAATAACGCCATTCCTCCCTCCCAAACTGACCAAAACACGGTTTCGACCGACGGGACCATCTCTTCACGAAAAGGTGGTTTACTCAATTGCCGATATCCTTCGACGTCCTCGGCCGTCCGTTGATGATATGTATAAAGGGCTCGAGTTTCTGCCATCGACACTGGATGATCGATGGACATCGGAAGGTGAAGAAGATCGCAGCAAGTTTGAGGGCACCTCAGTCTCTCACGATACCTCCGACGAGCCCAATCCCAAGCGACGGCGCTCTGACATGAACCAGGGACCCAACACAACGACCTATATGTCATCCACTGGGTATACTATGAACAACTCGACAGGGTTTACCCTTCCACCCGCCGCTTCATCCGGGTTTACATCTGCGCGAGATCACCATGCCGCTTACCCCCAACCTACCTCGGAGTCAGCCGCGGAGTCAGCTTCAAGCAGCCGTGCGGATGCAACGGGGGCAAATAAGCCGAAACCATCCAGCGGCGCAGGCCGCAAGGACGGCCTCACACAAGCCAGCATATCCAATTTCTTCGGGGGCCCGGGGACCCAGAAACGGGAGCCTGTTCTGCCTAATCGGCCACAGCCACCATCCCGAAGATACGAACTCTCAACGTCACAGAACCCAGGTCTCCCCCCAAAGTCCAATGTGCCGCCTACTCTCTCCTCTCATCGTGTCCAGCCACGGCCGCTCATCCCTACCGGGCCAACACTGGAGTCTGCCAACACCAGTGGCTACACGTGGTTGGCGACTCCGTCGAGACCCCCAGCCTCGAAGCCCAAAATACCGATGACGCAGGAACAGGGCGCGCGTGCTGTTTCGGCGAACGGCACAGCCGGGGCAGAGGTGAAACCCGAGGCTTCGCGAGGGTTCCAGTCCGCGTCGACGTTCCACACGACGACAATGTCAATGGTCCAACAGGGGCCGAGGCGTACGTTGGGGATTCGGCGAAGCATGAATGGGTGGCAAGATCGGATGAAGCGAGAGAGCGGTGGAGGCTGAAACGAAATCGGAGGGCTGGGCCTAGAACCCTGACGATACGTTCACGAGACCTGGTCAGGAGAGGCCCACCGGCAGCAAATTGCTCCGTTGCTGGGGAAGCCCCGGGGTTATCCTCAGCTCGGAAAGTGATTGACCAGGGAAGGGTTGGATGGGCCAGAATTTTCGGTCTGGGGAGGAATGACGCACTTCCGTGCCAGGGCCTCCCGATCTGACTTGTTTATGCATTGCTGTCAACCAGTACCTGTACACGTAGCTCCGATTCATAATCATCCCCATGGGCCCTTTCCCCCGATGTATGTGGCTGGGCGGGCAGATCTTCCGATGGAGCCTAATACCGTACGATGTCTAATGACGAAAATATGGGAATCAATAATGTAGCAGAAGAATTGAGACCTAAGAGGGATTCTGGACCACTGTGGAGATCTGGCGGTGAAAGGCCCCTAATGCCTCAGTCTCCCTCTCGAGGACAACCGCCATTGGCGCAGTGACGCTAGCGGTGAAGGGGAAGCGAGGCATGGTACACGACAGATCAGTTCCATGTCTGAAACCCAAAGTAGGTCGGGAGTCGAGCAGAGTATACAGGGACTAGTTGAGCCTAGTGTCCCGAGCTCAGACTAAGGTTGGCCCCAAGTTCGGTAAGTTCAAGGAGATCCATGGTCTATTCTGGGAGGAATGGCTGAGTCATCATTATTGGTACCCGTACGGTATTTTTCTGGTCAATTACCGCATACCTTTCTCTCAGAGCCACGGCTCCTTTTTCTCTCCGGGCTGTCACTGGCTGCCTTACTTTGGGTCTGCCCTCTCAGCCAATCAATTGTCCAGGTATCATTACCAGGCACCAAATACGTCAGTTCCATAGCTCAAGCTCCAGTGTTCCCCAGAGTGTAGATCGGGATGGCTCAATGTGGAATGGTTTGCTATACAAAAAGAAGTCATTGCCCTCCATTCAATTCATCACTCAACTCTATACACCAACATCATCACACCACCAATTGTTCATTGTTTGTTTCTTTCTACTTGTCTCTATATATATTTTTATCTACCCTTTTTTAACCCTTGTTTTTTTTATAATTTTGCTCACAGTTCAACACTGTCGGCCTTCACGTTGACGCTCTCTACCAACGACCTTTAATACCTCTTAATTACCTTCCACCTTGTACCTTCACGACCTTTTCTCCCTCACGCCAAATTCTTGTCTCTTCCACCTTCCTCCCCTTCCACCAATTCCTCTTCACAATGCCTCACAAAGTGAACAACTCAAATTCCACCCTCGCCAGCCAGAGCAGCGGAGACCAAACCACCGAAGTTCGGAATCTCAGTAAGTCAGACCCCTGCCCCCGATCTCCAGATTCAGCCCAAGCTAATGCACACCCTAGCAGCCAATCCCGTCCGGAAACCCCCGGTCATCGTGCACAACAAGGGCGGCCAAATCTACGATGAAACCCGGCCCTCGGACTGGGACAAGCAACGCTGGAAGTAGTCCTGCTACTCCAGATTCCATGGGGAAAGACGTGCATGCCAACACTTATTTTACCCGCGCGGACCAGAGTCTAGACAACCAGCAAGGCAACAGACACGCAAGAAGAAACACGCCAGAAAGAGAAAGTGAGGCGGTGATCGACGATTGGGCGCTAATCATGCCCCCTTTTTGGAGCTCTGAGCTTCGAGCTTTCTGGCCTCGCTCTTTCGTCACCGCTTGACTCGCTTGCTCTTTTTCTATTTGAACCCCTGAAATCGTGTTTGCCATTGCCTTCTGATTTGTCCCGTTCTCCCTTTTTCGCTTGTTGATCCTTTGCCGCGCACCTCCCTGCGTCTCTCCCCGGATTTTTGGGTTGGTCTCCACCCGAGCTCTGAGCTCTACCTCCTTGTATCATTATTCTGGCGTTGGAGGTGTCTGTCTACCTGACCTTCTCATCTTTGGGTCTTGTGAATTCCTGCCTTACTCTCCTCTCTCCGTCGGCTTTTGCGATTGTTTTTTTCTTTTTTTTTTTTTTTTGTTCTTAATATCTCATCTGTCCGGCCATTTTCACTTCCATTGCACTTGCGGGGGTGTGAATTTGGTCAAGGCAAACTTTGTCTTGTTGCGATGCATAGCGTGGGTCTTATTGGGTATATTGAACCTAGGGTTCTTCTGAAGCGAAATTGATTTCTTGAGAGAAGCTCTCAATGTTTTACTACAGTATTCACGATCATTCATCCTTCCTCGTAATACCAATTCTTAGAACATTCTCAGGATATGTAAATTTGGTTCGAGAATGGCCAAACACGATACTCCTGCCAGGTGATCCCCGAAGTCGGGGCTATACCCAACCAGTGCCCAGGTGGCACCTGACATGCGAACGAGCCCTCAAAAATGAGTTTGGCTGCTTTTGCTGCGTTCACTCTTGAACTTGTACCTAGGTACTAGGTAGGTAGGGGTTTTGACTGGGTGCCAGCTCAGAACTAGGTCAATTCGTGTATGTAGATGGCAAGCTTGTGTTCGGCCATCCCATGAGTCTACCTAGTAGCACCTGAGCACTTTGAACTCCTTCATCTCCTACCGACCTCGGGAGGTTCCAGAAACCGAGGTTGCAGGCCTGTGGGTACCTAGCTAGTCTAGCTTGGGGAATTTCCAAACTTGGAAGAACAGGGCCCAACATATATGCACGGGCATGAAGCTAGCTCTACGGGCAGGTGGAAGTCAGCCTTATAATGTGCTCTTCTAATATATTCCAGGGTCGCCCTGGGGCTGAAGGTGAGCAATTGATTCCGAGGTTATTGCAGGTGTCTTTCCAAGATTTCCAGGGTTGGAGTCGAGGTTGTTGTGACCCGGGGATTAGGTGGGTAGTGATATATTTTCCTGCAACCGGGGTGGGCAAGGCAAACCATTCACCTGGCACCTGGGCATGAATGCAGCCAAGACTGTCCACCGGCGTCTCTGCTGCAAAATATATACCAGGCCTGAAACCTGGAAAGACAGGATGATAATCTCGCACCTAGGTAGAGTCTTAGAGGCAAAAAGATTAAACTATCGGCAGGCTTCATCGGTGGTGGGTACTTGAGTATTTCAGTGCTCCTAAAGTATTACGCTGCCCAGGTAATGATGAGCGCAGACTAGGACAACTAGTAAGGGTATAGCGGGTACACCTGGGCAGTGTCTGCACCGTGGACCTTGGGCTGGCAGAGCTGATGAGGCGCACAACGTGAGAGCGGATGTCCTCTTCTGTACGCGAGGTACTAGGTACTCGAACAGTTGATTCAGACAGAAGTCACACTTCACTGCAAGATTGGAAGAAAAACCCCGAAAGAGATCTACAGCTCTACAGGGACAACAATCATTGAAAATGGGATATATTCAGGGCCACAAGGCCTAAACCCAGTTTTCAAATCCACACATAATAGAAAATCAGCACCTCGCCCCAGTCTCCAGCAAAGGATTCCGACAGGGGCTGCGAGGGCAGGTGTCAAGGGCTAGATACAAAGGAAGAGGATAGCAAAAGCAGGAAAGGCAAATCGAGTCGAAGCTCAGCAGCCAGTCCTACCAGAAGACAGGTTATTTTTTCCGGATTTTCTCGCTTTTTTTGATTTTTTTGTGACCTCTGCAAGCCCTTGCCACCGACACAGAAAAGTGTCATCGAAGAAGCGGAGCCCGTCTGACATTCACGAGCACGCATGACGTGAATGCAAAGCGAGGCACATTAAAAACGATTTTGGAAATTTTCTGAGATGAACATGAGGGGCGATGGGGTAGGTGTTGGTGGGCGCGATGGGGGGAGGCAGCAATGCTGCTAATGATCGTGGAGGGGCAGTGGATATCGAAAGGCGCAGCGCCGACTGACGCGCAGCAGTACAAGAAAGTGTGCAAGGGTTGTGTGGTATTCCTTGACGAAGAGAAGAGAAGTTAATGGGGGGGAGGGGGGGAAAGGGGGTTGGCAAATGCATTCTTAAAACAAAAAAATCAACATGGCTCGCGCTCGCAATGCTAGGTGGTCAAATCAAGTGCGACTGATGACCCGAAAGTGGGTATTGGAAGCAAATGGGTATGCAATTTTGGAACAGGAAGTGAAGGGCTGGTCTCGACTCCGGGTCCGCAGAACCGGAGCCAAATGCAAGGCGTAAAAGACGAATGAGGAGGCGGTCGAATTCGAGGAATATAGCACAGGTCGACAGCTGAGATGACGCATTGAATATTAGGATAACATATCGAGGTGGATCAATGCAGGATCAGCCGCTCCGTGGAAAGATTCTATGGGGGTGACACAAAGGGAAGAATGGCACTGGACGGATAGGTGCGCAGATCCAAGATGAAATGGAAGTGCTGTTCAATCCGTTTTCCTTTCCACATATCGCCCTAATAGGTCTGGTCCATTGCCATGTGGGTTGGTGCCACCGGGAAATGTTGGAGCGCTGCTTGCTGAGCCATATACATAGCCTCTTGCTGGTATGCTTCGCTGTTCATGTATTGCATCTCAGCAGATGGCGCGGGGGAAGGAGAGCAGCCATTGACAGTGGGAATTCCGCGGGTCGTGTCGTGGTTTCCCAGATGGGACTGGGCATGGGAATGAGCATGCACCAATGCCTCGTTCTCCGGGGTGATGGGAGGAGTGAGGTACCCATGGGGGATAGCAGTCAACTGCGAAGACTTCTGAGGTGTAGCAAGGCCCATTTCTCCGTTGTATGGTCGTGACTCGACAGGAGTCTCGACCGGGGGAGTGCAGCGGGCATAGCTTGCCAAAGAAGCCTGGCGGTTGAGGAAGTGCTCCATGATCTTGGACACACGCGAGTAGTGAGCCGAAGCATACTTGCGGGACACCACGGTCGAGGGCTGATGCAATTGCTGGGACAAAGCAACAAGGGTCATTGAGTCGTATTGTGATGCCCAGTGAGTGTGGCGAGGCTGAGGTCGGTTGAGGATACAGCGCGCGAGAGCCAGGGCAGCACGAGCGAGCTCGCAGGACGGCTTGGCGACAAAGTCCCGGTGGAAGAGGGCAATTTCAAGAATATACAGAGCCATGTGTTCCTCCTCGGGGTCGTCGTAGACATCATCAAGCAGAGCGTGTTGCAGGAACGCATCAACAGTCGGGTGTCCAATGGTCCAACCAAGGGTTTGAAGCACGTGCCATTCCATCTGCGTGAACATATCGTCATCGTAGAGAGAGCAGCACATGGACTTCAATTCCTTGATGGTGGGCACACGATCCTTCTTATCATTGTACTTGGCCGCAATGAGCAGAGCCGCACATCCGACCAGCTGGTAGTGACGCTTGTAGACCACACGCTTGGAGCAGTATCGGTCCAGAAGGTTGATCGCCAAGAACAAGGTTGATGGCAGAAGCTGGAAGGCAGTGTGGGCCTCGATCAGGAAGTCAAGAAGATACGGTCGCATGAACCACTGGATTTCGGTTTGGATGTCAATGGACTCGACGTCGGGGAGGGTTTGGCTCTATATAAAGGAACTTGATTAGCATTGTGAAAACATGGTGTTGGGTATCAGCCTGAACTCACGTCCATCTCCATCATGTGAGCCAGAACATCGTCGCGAAGTTCATCACTGGTGATGTGAGACAGCTCTTCTGCCATAGCGCGTTGACGCTCACGAGACACAAGCTTCTGATGCTCCTCCTTCGCCTGACGTTCCTGGCGCATCCGAGTGTCCATTCCATATTCATCTTCAACGAAGAAGGTAGAGCAGGGACGGTAGTTGCGGTGGTAATCCATGTTGGCGAAAATGTTTGATTCCGACCGACAGAAAGCAAGCGAGTTGATAATGATGATGGTTGTTTCAAAGAATGGAAGCCGAAAGATCAATTCCTTCAAGCAACGACGGAATTAAGAGAGTGACAGTCGTGATATTAGTGTATTGGAATGAATGACGGGGGGTGGTAACGATTAAGGAGTGTGCCAGCTTGACAATAGTTCAAATGCCGGAAAGTAAAAGGGTCGGAAGAGTCCACAGTAGAGGTCTTCAAAGACGGAAGCTGAAAGGAATTAATATATTAGCGTGGGGCCGACGTCGTGAATGATTAAGATTAAAGATCGTAAATGGTGAAGTGATGAGAGAGTAATGGTAGAATGAGGACAAAGAGCGTGAGAAGAGATGGAAGCACGAGGTAGAATGTGGAGGGGAAGTAGTTGATATCAATGCACAAGCAAAGGGTCATGAACTCCTTCGGAGAATACTAACCCAGTGAAGAGCCTTCGGGCAGAGGGCACAATGCAACCCTTACCGTGATAGCAAGACTGGCATCTAGGCAGGAATGATCCGGTGAATTAGGATTCTGTTGGATACCAACGAAGAGATGAAGGACGAGTCAACGTCTTCACCCCTAGGCTAGTGTGCTGCGGAATGTGGAATATAGGAACAAGACAACCCTATGAAGGGGTCAAGATCATCAGGGGAGAGGTCTTGGCAAAAGAATGATCTGAACTCACACTGCACGAATTAACGTGTTGAATGAACAAGCTCAATGAAGAGATTGAAGAAGAGATGGAGGGTTGTTG